GGTAGTTGAACGACGGATACCCTGTGGAGGAGGTCCATGCCAGCTCAGCCGTGAGCAGAACAAAAAGTGAATCCTTAGCCCAACAGGACCTGTCCCTGAGTGTCTACCAGGCAGGCTTGCATCCACCCACTCCCTCCTTTGCAATCTATGCACCATGAGGGACCCAGTGTGGCAGGGAACAGAGCTGCTTCCTCGGGCTGCAGGTCGCATCTCTGTCTTGCTCAGGGCTCTGTGCTCAAACAGGACAAAGAAGCCCAGAAGCCCCTGTGTGATCCCAGCCCTCACTGCTTGCCTCAGATCCAGCACAGCACACCCTGAGGATGCAGAAAGCCACACGGGGTAGGCTGGGCTGCTGGGGATCTCAGAAGAACAGGAGAGCCCGCTCCCCACAGGCCTCTCTGCCCACCTCCCAGCTCTCTGTTCTGGGTCCCACCCACCCTCTCTGAGCCTCAGTGAGCCCCTTCACACAGGGTAGGGAGCCCCGTCCCGCCCAGGCACTCAGGGGCTCAGAGGATTGGGGGCACCCAGCTCTGGCCCTGTGCGACGGGTGAGGGGTCAGAACTGTATCCTGGTTGTCACAGTGAAAGCACACTGGCTGCCTGCTTAGCCTTCCAGAGTCACAGGCTGGGTCAAATGTGACTCAGAAAATACAGGCAGCAGGGAGGGGATGGTGGTGAGTTTGGGCTGGCAGAGCCCAGGTCTGCTCCTGTGCCCTCTCTTAGCCCTGTGCGTGGCTCGTGGCGTTGGCCATGTTCAGGGGCCAGAGCTCTACAGCCCTGGGCAGACTGTGAGCTGAAGCCTTTGGCATCCCTCAGTGGTCCAGGGGGATCCGGGATGGGCCCATGACCTGTGTGCACAGCAGCTCTCTGGGCTGTGCAGTACCCTCCACCTCCTCCTCCCTGGAGGCACTGGGCTCTCTCCAGGGAGGTACTCCAGCCAGCCTGCTAACCCCCCAGGACTCACACAGTCGATGCTGGTAAACCTAAAGCTGATATCCAGGAAACTCTTCCCGTTGTCCACGGAGACTTTCACAAAGATCTCTCTAATACAGAGAAAGGACAGGCACTAGGGTCCACCCGGCAGCCTTGGACCAGGTGCTAGGCTAGAGAAGAAGCCCCAGCTCTGCTCATGGCAATGACACTGAAAGTGCCATTTTCAGGAAAACTTGAGGGAAGTCACATCGGTCATGACAGCTGACTCCCCAAGTCACTGCAGGGTCAGCTTCTGCAACAGGTGTGGCTCAGGCAATGAGCACCCCTATAGTGCATGGTGCTATGCTGGCCATGGCTGAGTGACAGGGGGGTCTCTATGGCATCCGTATCCTCACTTCTGTGTAGTATGAGCCAGGAAAGGTGATCCAGAGGAAAGGCTCCCAGCCCAACCTCTCTTGCATCTGCCTCTTGCGGATGACCCACAGGGCGGGTGGGGAGGACAACGCAGCCTTCTATGGCATGGGGCACCCACAGTCAGAGAGTTGCAAAGGGAAGTCACACTGTCCCTGCCCCTAGGGCCCAGAACCATAAACACTCACCGCCCAGCCTCATATATCACCGGTACACCACACGTTATGCCAGTTTTGTCCACATTCTTGGCTCGTTGATCTGAAAATAAGAATACACTGGCATCTGTGTGTGGCCTTCCCCTGTCCCCTCCATCTCCCCTGGGACAACAGAGCCAGAGCTGGGCCATGACCAGCCCCTCTTGTCCACCTTCCTTTTTAAGAGCGCCGCTCGGCCCAGCTCCTCCTCTGCTCCGCTCTGAGCAGCGCTGGTGTGCAGCAGGGAGAGGCAGTGAGGGCCCTGTGCCCCAGGGCTCAGCGTCAGGGACCAAGGGGACAGCGGGCAAAGTGCTGAGCAGGAGCAGCACAGGAGGCAGGGGCATGGTGCTGGGCCTCGACGGGCAGGGAGGCAGGGAGGCAGGAGGGCTGGACGCTGGGCACCTGTGCCACCTGGGAGAGACGTGGCTGCCGGGCCTGGAATTGGATCACACACGCTCTGGGGTGCAGGTGGTGGAACCCTGAGAGCAGGTGCCAGAGCCTCCAGCTCCCGCACGACTCCTGCTCCCCAGCACTTGGGGCCTGGGTAGGCTAAGTCACCTCTCCCTGAGCAGCGGGTGTTTCAGCTGTGCCCAACCCAGCAGCAGCAGCCAGGAGCAATGCCAGGGAGCAGGGTGTGGGCTGTGGGAGCGGTGGGTGCCATGGCCCTGGGGCGGGAACTGAGGGGCTTGTGGAGGAGGGAAGGACGCAGCCAGGAGGCGGGAGCAGAGGGGGCTGCACTTTCCTGGCCTAGCGGGTCTGCAGGTGCGCAGACACTGCACACCGTGTGAACATCAGTGTTGCGGGGCCGGCTGGGGAGCTGCGTGTGGGGTGGGTGGAGAGGACCCAGGGTGACACGGGGATTTGAGCACAGGCGCCAGGTGTGGCCATCACTGAGCAGGGCACCCCGCAGGGGGAAGGGGGATGTTCGGTGATTTCTTTAGTGCTGTGCCTGCCTCCCTCCTTCCTTTCTTTCTTCCTTCCTTTCTCCTCCCTCCCTCCATATCCCCTTCCTCTTTCTGTAAGAGCTTGGGAAACTCAGAAGAGTTTCCTAAAGTGCAGCACTGTCACCTTCCGAGTCCTGAGCCCTAGACCTCTGGGGCCGTGGTTAAGGGTGAAATTGAGCCACACCCTTGCTGCCTGGTGTACAGCTATCTGTCCCCAGGGTCCAGATCCCCAGCACCTGGTGTCTGCTCTGCTAACCAGAATGGATGCAGCCAGAAGGACCCTGAGATCCTGTCCTCTGTGTTCTTTTGGGGGGGGGACCACTCCTTCCTCTGTCCCTCCTCCTCATGCTGACTTCCCCAGGAAGGGGCGGGGACAAAGTCCCTCCTGACCTCTGCCCAAGCATGGCGATGGTGGCTGGGAGGACAATCTACCCAGGGCCCTGCCCAGCGGATGCCCATGCTCCAGGGACATTGAGAAGAGATGGTTCCCAGGTAGCAGAACTAGGTTTAGAGTTGTTCTTTAACTTTTGTAAAAACAAGCTTGTTGTCTGTTGAGAAATATAGGGCTGGTGAGATAGCTCAGTGGATTACATGCATGCTTAGGCAAACTCAGGGACCAGGTTAAAGCCCAGCACCACAGGCCCTGCTGGCCCCACCCCCCCACCATGCCTATAATCCCAGCGTTTGGGAAGCTGAATACAGGAGGATCACTACGAGCCTAAGATGAGTAGCAGGACCTTATACCAAACAAAAAAAATAAATGAATAAATAATTTAAAACACTATAAAAACAGTGTTAATAGTATTTCACTTTTAGCTTGTTGATAAGAGTAAACTTTTTGTTCTTTCTTTTCTGTATGTCCCTGTTTTGTACTATATATCATTTGTTAATTAAAAATAGTTCATTTAATTTATTATTTTTAGATTATAAACTCTTATGATTCAAAATCTAAAGTTCCCTACCTGAAGATTCTCAGGATTATTGCCTTAACCATCTTGTGCATAGAAGTTAGGATAGATATACAGCTACTTTCTCTTAATTCAATGAGAAGAAAGATTTGTACTAATAGCGTTTGGACAGGATATCCTGTCTGCATCTTGTACTATGAATAACCACTATGAAGACAACAATATGCAATGCATTAATTATTATACCTGTCCTACTAACCTGTTTTGAAACTGTCTCATTGTTATTTCTCAATAAAATTAATAAAAAAAATCTAAAATTCCCTTATGATTAAAATTTTATTTTATATAAAAGATAATTTCTATTGATTGTTTTCTGCTTCTTCTTTAGGTCAATGCTAATGCTCAAAAAAATGGTTCTTTTCCATGTGGACCAACTCCATGGTAATAGTGAGCATGCATTCTTTTTTTTTTTTTTTTTTTGGCAGAACCAGGGATTGAACTCAAGCCCTTGCACTTGCCAGGGACACGCTTATTACACTGAGCCATTTCCCAGGCCCCTCAGCATGCCTTATTGAATCACTTCGTGCCCTGATGCATACTGGGCATGAGAACTGATCAGGAACCCTTGGGGAAGGATTTGCTTATAGGGGTGGTGGAGTGACCAGTGCTGTGGTAGACCAAGAAAGTCCCCCAGCATCTCATGAGTGTCATGGTGGGGCTTTTGGAAGGGCACTGGATCATGAGGACACAGAAGTCAGCAGTGAAGTCAAGCCTTGCCTCCCACACGTTGTGTTAGGAGTGCTCTCCCTGCCTGGCTCTTCGCTTCTCTCTCTGCTTTCTGGCTGCCATACCATGCAGTGAGCAGCAGCCTCCCCACCTCTGTCCACCGTGGTACTTCTGCTTTAAGCCAGCTGACAGTGCACTGCATTCCTTGAGCTGTGAGCCCAATTGAACATCACTTGATTTTAAGACAGAGGTGTTGGATATTGTGTCCCAGCAATAGGGAAACTCACTAGTTCATCTGGGATCACTCTGGAAAGCTCTCCTCAAAAAGCTGTCGCAGATGCCATAGTGTGAGGAGAGAAAGAGACCAGGTGTACACTGTCTATTGATGTAAGGCCCCTGGGTCAGGTGGGCAGAAGGCCCGGAACACACTGGGTGATGGGAGAAGGTCTCAAGCCAAGGCCAAGTCAATACACTAGATATTTTGGTTGTCATCATCAAGCATTTCATCTTATTTTATAATAATATATCATAACAAAGGCAGAAGCTAAAAAGCATATAGAAACACTGATTGTTCTGTCTTTACTTTCTATTTTCTATAATGGCACCCATGTTTTTAAGAGAAAAAAGTAATTACAAACTAAGAAGTCAGTCCCTGCCGCATCAGACTGCCACAGGTGGCCATTTCCTGCCCTGCACCCACCAACTGTAGTATGGCCATCTGGGAGGCCCCAGCATGGCAGCGTGGTCCCCTGACCTATTCTGGTCCTGAGTTCTTCTGGGCAGACAGCCAGTGACCTCCAGGTGGCATCCAGAGAGAATGACCCCTTGGGGAGCATCTGAACCCCCTTTCTGGGGCTAGGCTGCTCCCCATTTCCTCATGAGCTCACTGAGCAGAGTGCTCTGTCACGACCCTCTCATTTCCTCAGTCCTCTCACTAACTCTGACCCAGGCCTGTGCGGTCGTGGGCAAACTTGCTCATCTCCTTGCACCTGGTTTTCCAAACCCACAGCTGCTGTGGGGCTGTTTGGAGGCTCTGAGGAGATACTGTGGGTGGGGCACTTGGCAGAGGACTGAGACAGAAAGTGCCAAGTAACACTCATGTTGTCAGGGCAGGGCTGGTTCACATCCAAGCCAACTGGAAGACAGTAGGGCCAAGGTGAACCACACAGCCCTGGCATGGTGGAATGTGGCTGAAATTGCCCCAGGACCCATCTGAGTACTCAGGAAGAGAGGAGAGGTGACCAGAGCCATTCACAGGGAGAGAAATTGTCTGGGTTTCCCCAGTGGCCCTGGAATAAGACCTCATGGACATAATACAATTGCATCTAACCAGTGACCCTGGAGATAGGCAGAGAGTAGAGGACTCTGAAAGTCCAACTGTGCCTAGGCCTTTGTGGGAGGACCATCTCACTTCAGCCTGCAAGGACTGTGTGCTCCTAAGGCCCCTCCCAGTTACAGAGTGACGCTAACACCCAAGGATGACCAAATAATAGGAGATCAACAAAAAATATTAAGCATTTCTGTATACATGTGATGCAGTCACCTTCTTGGTTCTGTTTGGGGGAGAAAATAGAGTCTCAGAAAAGGAATGCTCATGTAGTCCATGTGAACCCCAGTCTAAATTTCAGTTCAGCATCTCAACTCAAGTTAAGTCCAGCTGTTGGCCTGGGAAGCTGGCCAGGCTCTGAATGCACATGGTGTTGTCCACCCGCCAGCAGGCATGGGGCCTGGGTCTTCATCTTTCAAGTGAAGAATCCAAGGATGGGGTGGGACAGATGCTGTCATGAGCATAGTCTCACCCCAAATCCAATCCTGTTCTACCACATTCCTGGAAGCCCCAGGATCTATGGTCTTTACAGGCCCAGGGAGGAGTGAGCACCACCAGCTGGGCTCCTGGCTCCACTTAGCCACACTGTCTGCAGTGCTGCAGTGTTCTCCAGCAGCAGTGAGCAAGGGCTGGGGGCTCAGCTGCAAGAGGGAAGGATAGAGTGGTGTAGGGTGGGAGAGCCTCAAGAGCATGCAGCGGCTCCTTACCAACGATACCAGTGGCATTGAACTTGAACCTACAGAAGACTTCCTCCTTTTTTATTTTGGGATACAAGTCCTCAGCATCAATGACGTAGTCATAATTTTCTGCAAAGACATAGTCCAGTGCATGAGTGAGGGTATGCTGGGCTCTGTGGTCACTCTTAACCCGTAGCTCATGACAGTCATCCCTAGGACATCTCCTAGAGTCCCTCAGAGGCAACAGCAGTATCTGAATATCTGTGTGTCCTCCAAACCAAATCTATGTCTACTGTCACCAAGGGCACATGAGGATGCAGCAGGACCTGGCTTGCATAGTTGGGAGCCCTCCTCCCATTCCTGAACACAAGACTGTGACAGATACCCACCTTCCAGAGGCCACCTAAGCCCTTGGAAGCTGGGGCCTTGCACCCTGAATTTCCATTATTCCTGCTGAATACCTCAGGAACAGAGCCAGGGTGGGATCACAGGAGGCCCCATCCCACCCAGGTGGGTCCCTCACAGAGGTCTACACCTCCTTCCACACTCAGTCTCTTCCTGATCCACATGACCACAGTCCACTGCCTGTAGACCCACATGCCCCTTGCTCCATCGCATGGCCCTCTCTGCCCCTCAGGCCAAGTCACAAGGGACAAGTGAGGGCAGCCGGGTGGCCCCACAGCTCCCAGGCTAGGTTCCTGTGGCCTTCAGATGCAATTCCCAGTTCTTTGGCCTAACAAGTTCCTTGGCTTTCTAGCCCAGACCTGGCTCCTTCCTGTCTCCATGGATTGGGAGTGTCCCCAGGTTGGTGGACATGGGACCCCAGTCTATAGCAGCCCCTCCCTCAGCTCCTGCTTCTGGGCTGGCTCTGCATGCTAGCCTGAGGACCCAGACCATTCTGTCACCTGAGGCCCAGGCTCCTGCCTTGGCTTCCTCCAAGTCTCTGTCACTCTGTGTGAGGCAGCTCTGCACAGGATACCCAGCAGTGTAACAGGTCAGCAGTGGAGCTGATGTCTGCAGACACCTGTCACCTCAGCTCTGCAGCTGGGAAGAAGCAGTGACAGCTGCCTTCCTCACCTGGGTTTGTCTGGCTGCCCAGATATTGGAGCCTGTGTGTCAGGACACATCAAGTATGTGCAGCTGAGCAGCTTCACACCAGAAACAGGAGGGACCTCAGGCTGGGTCTCCGACCACCTCCACCCCAGCACTGCAGCCCCTCCCCCTGGCATCAGGTGGGCTCAGGATGCAGAGCTGAGGTTCAGGGTAGAGAGGTCAAGACCAGGTGCTGTCCTCGGCTCTCAGCTCCTACCATGTCCTGACGCTACCCCATCACTGTCCTTCCATCCCCTGATGTCCCCATAGTACTACTTTTATCCACTGGTGGCCACACTGCAGCCCAGATGTGCGGCACCTTAACCCATCCCCAGGCCCATGACTGAAGAGCCCAGAGAGAGCATGCTTCTGTCTGCCCACATGCTACAGCCATAGTGCCTCCCACAAGGGACACGGAGGCCAGGACCCAGGAGTTGCAGCAGCCAAGGTGTCACCTGTGTGAGGAAGAGCCTGACACTGCCTGTCTCTTTCTGCAGAGGCATCAGAAGCCAGCCATGTGAGGACCATGACTGGACCAGCACCTGTGACAGAAAGAGGCAGCTTCCCCCTGCACTACTTGGGAGTGTCTTCAGCACACAGAGGAAGGAGGCTGAGCTGGGCTGGGGGCACTCTTGTTGTGTCCAGCCCTAGGGACAGGCACTGTCTTCTCTCCACAGGGCTGAGGCACAGCCTGGCTGTGACTGCAAAAGTCAGTTCAAGCTGGATTTCCCTTCTGCCACCCACTGGGCTGGCCCCATGCACAGCATTTTTGCTTAGTCCTAGGAGGTGACTGCCTGTGTCTCTTCTGATCTGGGGTGTGAAATTGTTTATATTTCTAATGCCAGGTCTGCCTATCCTTTCTGGGCTGAGGCCTGGCTGCTGTGTCTGTGTGGACCTGTTTAAATGTCCCTCTGCTCCACCAACCATGATTTCCTCAGGACTGTTCATGTATACTTTTTCTATCTTCCTAATTTTGCTTTTTGTTATGACATAAGTGAACCCTATTTGCACAACACAGACCCCAACCCCACAGCAGGCACCATCTGTACCACTGCACAAGGCTGTATACACCCAGGGCGTGATCACACTGCTACACAATCTTCATGCATAGCCACACACACACACACACACCATGCAGGCACAGTTGTACCCAAATACCACGCACCACACACTGCAACACAAAACCTCCTCACATAGTCATACACGAATTCACCAGCCACCACACACAAAGGACACATGATACAAAATGCAGGCACTCACCACACTCCTCCTCATACACCACATGACTCAGGTACATGACACACAACACACTGTCACCAGGGCTGTGCTTGTCACGTGCGCACACTACAGACAACCCAGGCACTCCTGTCTGCCTAGATTAGCAGCTGGGTTCTCTTACCTTCTATACACACAATGTTGTCTCCCAAGAAGGAAACCTTAGGACACGTCTTCTCAGCCAGCTGAGACAGAGGGTGGAAGCAGCAGGAGGGTGAGCTCCAGGCTCTGGTGAGCTGTGGCCCTCCCGCTCACACCAGCTGCTCACCGGTTGTACAATTTGGTCCAACCCCTCAAACCCGTGCGTCGTCTCAAATACATTTTCCTGTGTCCCTGCGAGTTCTATTAACTGCAGAGAAAGGAGCTGGCTTGGCCCCAGGCAGGGGCTCAAGGAAGCACCAGGGCACCCCAACCCAGGACACATCCTGCCCTCGGCCCTAAGGGACAGCAGAAGAAAGAGGGGCCCCAGGTGAACTCAGCCTAATTACCTGATTTTTGTTAACCTTACCCACACCCACAGTGTAAATGGTTGCCCCCGAGTTCCGAGCCTTGTCAGCCTGAGAAAGAAGGGGGTAAGCTGCAATTGCCAAATTATACAAAATGGAACAAAGTATAAGACAGGCAGACTCACCTCGGCCTTTGCCTTATCATACCGTCTGTCGTCCAAAATATCAGAAATCACAGAGATGATGACACTTGGAATCTGGACAGCTGCAGGACACCAGGAGAGGGCTCTGGTGAGTAAGGTACAGGAGCCACCAGCAGAGGACCAGGGACACTGCAGGCTGCCAGGGAGCAGCACTGCCATGGCATGTGTGCCAGGTACTCCCCCACCTGGGGATTCTGGCGCAGGTGCCGAGAACTCAACACCCACCAGGCAGAGACCAAGAGCAAGAGGGGCACTTTGCCCAGGGCCATCTCCCCACTAGACAAGCTGGGCCAACACTAGCCACAGACTGCACACTTTCTGCCCGGAGGGTAGCCCAGCCATGTGCCCACCAGCCCCAGCCCAGTCCTGGGCAGAGCAGCAGCAGCAGCTCCTCCTGCAGAGCAGCCAAGGGTAGGTAGCACCAGTTCCTGCTGCAGACACAGCCTGTGGCTTCTGCTTGGGACACAGCCCAGCTGCTCAGGACTCCTGGGCAGGATCCTGGACATTCTTACACCTCCCCATTGCTGTCCCCACCTGGCCTCCCTCCTGCCCAGAGTTGCCAGCCTGCACTGCAGAGGGACTGGGCCACACAGCTGTATGCATGATCGGAGGTGCAGGTCCAGCAGCAGGTGGGCAATGGAAGAATGGGACGGAGAAAAGGAAGAAGGTCTGGTCCTGGGGATAGTATGGGCCCCTCACGCTGGTCCTCAGGCTGCTCGCACCCTGTACTTTCTCCTTCTGCACACAGCTCTTAGGGTAGGTCCAGGAGCACAGTGGCCAAGCATCCTGCTTAGACCCAAGGGGTTGCCTGTTCTGGGAGAGCCATGCTAGGCAGGCACCGTGCTCTCCGCACAGGGCTGTGATGGGGCAGGGGAGCAATGGGCTCAAGAGCCGGGCTGGGGAGCCGTGGGGTCTGCACACAGAGCTGCTCAGGGGGCAGCTGGCTCCATGTAGCTGCCCTGAGGAGGAAGCAGGTGCTCACCTCCAGAGTTGGATCTTTCAAGCTGAACATTTGCCTGCATGGAAATGAAGATTCATTGAAGAGAGGAGTGAGATGGTGCAGAGCTGTATGAACTGGGGCAGCCCTGGCCCTCAGGGTCTTTCCAGCCCAACCTTCTCAAACCCTTTGTGCGGGATCCGGGTCCCCGCAGGGATACTGTACTTCAGTCTGTCCAGACCCCTCTGAATTTCTCCCCTGAAAAAAAGATGAACAAAAGGATAACAGGAAGAAGGTTCTCCACCAGCTCTCCATAGCCTTGTGCCCCGACCATGAAGAAAGGCAAGAGGTGTGAGCAACTCATTTTCACCTAGTTCTATGCAGAGTCCTTGGCTCATTTGTGTCCTCTGTCCTCAGCCTGCTGAGCCCCCTAACAGGTGGGGTAGCTGACAGCAAGTCCCACCTGAACAGCTAGCATTCAGGTACTCCACCCTTGGGGACCCTCTAGAGACTTCCTGGTGAGGGCCAGACTCAGGGGCATGCAGCTTGAGTCCAGGGCTCCAGGGGGACCTGCATGCTTCCGCTGACTGGAAGCCAAGGACACCATGACTGAGGCTCTGTCCTCCAAAAGGGAAGCCTGGGCCCCACAGGTCGCCAGCTCAGCCTGCCCTGCACTGGCCCCACTGCACAGACCCTGACCTGCCCCTCCCTTAGTCAGTAAGGGGAGGAGCCAGGCTGCTTCCTGAGCAGAGCAGGCAGAGGACCTCAGTGCCTCTGACACCGAAGGCCCGAGGTGAGGACGTGGCCATCAGAGGCTGTTAGAGAGAGGCAGGGCCAATTGGGACAGGCAGCACTGGCTCTGGCTCTGGTGGCAGCACAGAACGGGAAGCGAGGCTGGGCTCAGGCTGATCAGCTGTGACAGGTTGAGCCTGCCCAGCAAGGCCACCAGAGCTGGGACCCTGAGGGCAGCTTCCATAGCCTTTCCCAGGGAGGCCCAGCCAGTCCTGCCCAGCCCAACCCCTACCCCGTGCCCAGTTTAACTCACTGCCCTGACAGTTGCTCCATACCCTGTACCTGTACAGGTCTCTCCCAAGCCCCAGCACAGCAGACACCAGCCTATGCCTTCCCTGTGCCAGTGGAGCCCCTCCCCCTCCTCCTGCCAACTATACCCAGGGGTGACCTCTTCATGGCTCTGGAGCCCCCACCCTTCTACCTTGGGAGCTGACCTGTTCTGCTTTACTCTTCCCCTAAAATTCCAGAGGCTTCTCTTTCTCTCCTCTGAGCTCCTCCTCTCTGAAAGCATCCCTGGCATGGTAGTCAAGGTGATCCCTCACTCCCAGACTGTCAGCTCCTCCACAGCACCCCACTTGTGGCCTCCTGGCCTCTGGGCACAAGTGGACCACCTTCTTCCCCAAGCCTGCTCCTTAGGTCTCCCTGTGGCACCCACACCAGCCAGCAACCCCTGGGGAGCACCCTGTCTAGGACTTACCTGAGAACCCTGGTGTCCTGCCCAAAGCCCCAACTCTTCCCCAGGTCCCTGCTGCACTGGCCCAGAGTAGAGTGTGACCTGTCATCAGGGGCTCCACAGCCAGCCAACCTGTCTTGAACCAACATGTTTAGCCTCCAGGGGGACAGGAAGCCAGGCTGAGGTCAATAGTCCCCCTCTAGCCCACCCTGTGCACTGGAGCAAGCCTCTTGGGCATCTCAGCAAAGGCCTCTGTCTCTGTGGGCTGCAAGCCAGATGTGCACTAGAATTCGAGTCAGCATCTATGTTATGGCTTGGATCTAGATGTGCTCCCAAAGCCTCACATGCTCATGGGTGGGGTTGTGGGGAGGTGGCTGGATTATGTGTGTGTGACACTGGGATTAAGGGTGTGTGGTACAGGATTAGTCCACTGATGGGTTTAGCATAGTTCTGGGTGTGGCTAAATGGATTTACTGAAGACAGAAGCCCCATACTGGATGTGAGTGGCACCAAACAATAGCCTTGTAGATTGGATGTAATAAAAAGGGAAAGGGAACCTGCTGTCTCACTTTCCCTGTCTGCCATGGGACTGTTTCTCTTCTGTGATGCTCTTCTGACTTGGATCCAGCCAACCCTCTGCAAACAGTGAGCTACAATAAGGTTCGCTCCTTTAAGTAGTAAGTGCCAGGTATTTAGTCCCAGGAATGCTTAAGTAATGGAGTCAACCTACCTGTCAGAAGTGAGCGGCAAGATGATGTTGCCCTTACAGGAGTAGGTGATGAAGGATACACGCAGGTTCGGGCTGAGAGGAAGCAGAGTTGTGAAAAGTCACACATATACCAAGGTGCTGTCACCCAGCCTTCAGGGGGAGGTTGGGCCAAATTACCCCTTGCCACCCCTATACTTCATTTTGGGGTACATTGTCAGACACAGGGGAATTGAATAAATTTAGTGAAGCATTCTGAAGCCTATGGAGATGAACGAACCCAAAGAGGGGAGACAATCAGGGTGCGTCCAGGCCCTGTCTCGGTGCTCCAGCAACCCACAGGCATGTGCGCACACATGTACACACACACACGCACGCACACACACACACACACACACACACACGCACACTTACACCAGTACACAAACTAAACAGGCAAGATGATAACCGCACTCCATGAGGGGCTTCCTTTCTACCCGGCCTGCTCTCTGTCTCATCTGCCCAGGCACACTGCTCTCTGTGCCTCCACCAGAGGGACCCACCCAGTCCAGTGGACACGCAAGGAGCCTGTAGCAATGTGGATAACTGCACTTCATGTATTGCTGCACCAGAAGACGGATCCCCCATGCTCCTCGGGCCCCATAGGCCAGGTAGGACCTCTCTTCCCGCAGGCCTGGCTTCTGCTGTCACCTTCTGGCTGTCCTACCTCTTTCCTCTTTCCTATCTTTTCCTCCTCCTTCTAGCTCAGGAAACCCCTCTCCCTCTGGGCACCATTCACAACTCCTCCCTTCCTGTCCCTGACCACTGCCCTGGGTCCACGACCTCTCACCCCAGCAAGGTGGCTGCAGCTTCCCTGGCTGAGCTGCCACTGCCTGTCCCTGCCCTGGTTCCCAGCCTTGTTCACCCACAGTTCCCAGGTTTGGTTTTTCCTGGAGCACAAGGCTGACCAAGTCACTCCCTGCCCATGAGTCTCCCATGGCTGCCTGTGGCTCACAGGAGGCTGCTCAGCCCCTCCTCAGCCTGGCACAGTGAATCCCGTGGCACTGGCCCCAAGCAAGTTGGTGGGGGGGGTTGTCTAGAACCCTCCCCTGAGTCACTCTCACTCCTCAGCCTACACAGACCACCCAATAGAGGTCGCCCTGAGGATAGCTGGGACCCTGACTCTTCTCCATCCTTCAAGATCAAGTTCACTTCCCACACCCTCCGGGAAACTGACCAGGAAGACTTCCCTCTAGAAATGCTTGTTTCCCTTGTCACCTTCCTGGCATTTTCTCTGTCCCTTGCCTTTAGCCTTGAGCACCCCATGTCCAGACATCAGTACTGAGTCCCTCAGCCTGTCCTGACTTCCTTCCTAGCCTGGGGATCCTGGAGACCAGGCAGGTGTCCCTTCAGGTGCCCAGATTCCCAGGAAGAACACCCACATTGCTGAGACAGACCCAGGAGCCAGTGTATTCTGTCCCCTCTCCTTCCCACTCAGCTGGGCTCTGTGCCCCCACCAAAAGGGTTCCACCAAGTCTAATGGGAGCGCAGCAAGCCTGCAGGGTGGGGACACGTACTCTGTTAACGAGTCCATCATTCTCTTCACAAACTGATGAACTTGATTCCAGTGGTCACTCACAAAGGCGGACCTGAAGACAAAGGAGACATAGGTGGTGGGATAGCATCCCTGCAGGGGGACACAGCCTCTTCCTCTTACTTATTTCCCTACAATATCCTTAATAAGCCTCTACCAGCCCAACACTGCCAGTCATAGTGAGTCACCCTTGAAGTGACTGTCAGGGCCACAAGTGGGCAGAAGCTGGCCATCCAAGCCATCTGCTAAGTTTGAGGGGCCTCTCCACACAAGGGGTGTTTGATCACCACCCAGTGTGTCTAATCATAATAGGTAAAGCCTGAGTGGACAGCAAGTGGAGAAAGAAAACTTGTTTGGAAGCACTCCTGAGCATCTCTGATTCATAGGCTCTCGTAGGTCTCCACTTGTGCTTTATTTTATGTGACCTACCCAGTTCTCTGTGGGTAGGTGGGGACCTTGGCACCATGGCCATCAGAAACTTCTGAGACACATCACCAGGTCCAAAGATGACCAGATGTGGCCAGTGTTTCCCCTGCTGGACTCCTGGGTTCCAGGTGTCACACCCGCCCATAGGATGGAGGAGCCTTTGCAGGCAGTGTCTGCCCCCAGCCTGGCCCATGTCACCCCAAACTTCTGTCCCTTCCCACATTTCCCAGCATCATGGAAACAGAGGAAGACATTTCTATGGGAGCTTGAGTCTGTTTTTCAAATTTATTTGGTACAGGATCTCACTATGCAGCTTGAACTCAGAGTGACCATCTTGTTTTCAGCCTCCCCAGTGCTGGGATTACAGGCATGTGCCACAAAGCTGAGTCTACACTTAGTTCACTGAGCTATCTCACTGGCTCTGGGAGCCGGGTCTTGGCAAGGATTACCAGCACCACAGACTGTGTGACACTCCAGCTTTGTCGCCTGCTCGCAGTCCCAGCCTCTGCAAGCCTAGGAGGCCTTTCCCAGCAGGTACTTTCAGGGCAGCAGGCTAAGCCAGCCACTGCTGCCCTTGTGCCAGCACTGTACACCAGCAGGGACAGCTACAGGCTCTTCCTGACCTCACTCCTACATCCTGTTCCATCCTCTTCCACTGTCCCAGGCTGACGAGTAAGGAGCAGGAAGACGTTGTGGCCTCATGACCTCCTGTCAAATGGGAATCATGCACGTCTGCCCTACAACCCCATACATGGACTTCAGTTTCCACAGCTCTGCACATCTGAGCATCGTGGGGTGAAGAGAACTGTGGCCAGTGTGGAGGGACACGTGACTCTCAGGGGTGAGCTTTTGTCCAAGGTTCTAAAGCTGGTGCAGGTGAAAGTGAGGCTGCAGCCCTACCTGAGCTCCTTCCTTGGACCATGTTGGTGTCTGATTCATGAGGTCCCTGCCAGGAAGCCACACGTCCCCCTTCAGAGATCATGATGCCCACAAATGGGTCCCCCTGAAGGTCATGCAGACAAGAGCAACCTCTTCCTGCCCCTTCCTTCTTCTGGACTGCATCCAAATCAGCGTGAATGCCTCAAGGAAATGAGGGCCTTAGTGTTTCTAGTATTCTGGGCCCTCCGCTGTGCATTTCCAGTAAGGAAGGACCTAGCTTTCAAAGATGAGAAAGAGAGATATTTCCAACAAGTGGTACTGAGAAAACTGGATGTTCATATGCAAAAGAATGAAGTCAAGAGCACCCCACCCAGGACCCTTCCTGTCTTTCAGGAGTTATTCCTGTTCCCCATACCTATTCCTCAATAAATTTCCCTACTGTTAATCGCCATTGCTCCATAGAATTCTTTCTTTGACTTTGGGAAACACAATCTGATATCCAGCAGGTTGGGAGTTATAGATTTTTCCCATGTATCACTTGTGGGTGGTTAGGTAGGTAGCACAAATGTCTCTTTTCTTACATACAATTTTGTGAGATAATTGAAAGGAGATAAGTCTGATTTGGTTTTATGGTTTCTGGATTGTGACTCATTTGAGTAATCAGAAATTGTCCTTTTTGTATGCCAGTTGCTTATGCCTTATATTTTATGCATGTCTTTATATACCTTTATTTTTGTCAAATGATGGTAGTTTTAAATTGAGAGCATGGGAAGATGATGATGTTTCTTTGATGGAACATTTTATTTTTCTTGGCAGGGTTCTGCATTCTTATTTTGTGTATGGGTTTAGTAGTTGCTGAATTTACTGTTGTTCTTTGCTGGACCAGTTGGCTGTTATGGTTCTTGTCTTATCTCAGAAAAGGGGCACTAAGAAACAGTAATATTAGAACATCCCCTAGTGGACTTTGATACTAAACAAACTACAAATGTATAAAATGCTATAAATGTTTTTAAAATAAAATCTAGTGTCTAAAACAGAAATGCCTCTTATGAATTTGGGGCTCCCCTCAGCCACTTATCTGCAATAGCTCAGCTGCTAGCCTTAAGCCTGGGAAGACAGTGTTCATGGAGACAGCCTAGTCTGCTCCCCACTCCACTCTCATGATGGGGAATATCAAGCCTGTTTGGCCTCAGTTTCCTTTCTGGTCTAATCTTCCACTTGTGAGAAAGCAATCTTAGCTCTTGAGAGTCCCCATTTTCACCTTTCCAAGCTGAGGGTGATGATTCATGGGAAAATTGTCTCAGTACCTCACCCTGAGAATGAGAAGAGACTTCCTTTTCTCTGATCCTTTTTGGTCACTTTGTTTCACCCCTTTTGTTCTGTTGTCTTTGAGACAGGGTTTCACTCTGTAGTTCAGGCCTACAACTTACTTTTTCACCCAGGCTGGCCTTGAACTCACAGTGATCCTTCTGTGTTAGTCTCCTGAGGGCTGGAGTTACAGCTGTGTACCACTATGCCCAGCTATGCTTTCCCTTTCTTATTTTTTTTTATTTTTAGGCATATTTCCTCTAAAGATCAGAAAGACAGGAGACACTCTGAAAAGGTTTTAGTCCCAATCTCTCTCAACCTTTCCCTCCTGTCCAATAACTAAGAGCTTTCAAGTTGAGCCCATAGAAAAAACGAATTTGTTAACACTTCAGAATTAACAACATTTATTTGTTAACACTTCAGTATTTGTTAACACTGAAGGTAAGGAAGCCATCTGAGATGAGGGACGCAGACCTCACTTCTGGATCAGATGAGGCCTCAGAGATTAGCCCACCCAGGAGAACAGGCATGAAGGCAACGTACCCGCCTCGTGTTTTAGCCACAATTTCCCGTGTAGCAGGTACCGGAAGTAGAAAGTTGAGACCCAGTGGAAAGAACCAGCTTCTGGGCGGCATTAGAAGGAGCTATTTGCTAAGCAATATACTTATGGGACCAAAACATATCCAGATCAGGACAGAATTTCTAAATTACTCTTTTATCTCACTCCCTCATACTCTCAAAAAAAGGCCTGACATCCTGGTTCTCTCCCTGTCTAAGTCTGGTTCACATCGTTTATGTGTGTAGTACTTTTGCTAATGTGTAAGTCATGGTTTCCAGAAAATGAGGAAGGATTTTAACCTGTGGGCTTCATAAGAGTGCTGTAGACACAGAGACTTAAACATGTGGAGTGGGTTTGGACTAAAACATAGCCTTGTCTTGCTGCTAAGGCAGATTGCCTAGGTAACTAGGTAGATAATACAAATGCCTCAGGGGCTTCTTTGCCCTTAGACCCAGGGCAAAACTTTTTTG